CTTTGCTAAAGTGATTGTTTTGAACAAGTATTAACTTAGACATTATTTTTTAAAAAACATTATTTTAGCTGAAGTATTTGTATCAATACCGTGTGCCTTTTACCCCGTGTGTGGCACCTCATACATTTATAAGATTAAAAAAAATAAAATAAACAACTTGAATGATTTATTTTCACACAAAAGCTGTTTCTCCATTAATGTTCAATACAACGTATATATTTTTTCTTAAGGTGGGCCTTTAGCCCCGTTGTACCCTATAATAAAAGGTAATAATACAAATAAAAGGTATGATGAAACATAAAAATAAAAAACAATAAAATGTAAACATTGTGCATTGAAGAAAATTCAGAAAATGACAAAGGTTAACATTTTTTTATAGAAATAAATAAATAATATAAAAAGGCAGTTGTAACATAAAAGTCTATCAAATAAGCAGATTCAGCAGAGATTCAATATCTTGTTATGTTTTGTGTTTAAAAGTTTGAATCTGTTCTTTCCCAGTAAATCATTAGGCTGCGTCATCACAATCTGTCATATGCACACCTAAAGACAACCGTTTAAACACACATGATGTTGGAAAATTATTATTATCCTATTTATTTTTTGTATATTTTTATATATTTATTTTGTATATTTACTTAATTTTTTAAAAGTACATGTTAATAGAAAATTACCATGTACTGTATAGTTAAAATATTTTCTGAAAACTGGATTTTGTTCATTTTAATTAACTTCAAATCAGTCAAAATACTGTGTCGGCGTAACTACTGTGTTTGTTCTCTTTTAGGGCAGTATAGCCTACAACATTTTTTGTTGTTGTTCAATAATAAAGGTACTATAACAGTTCACAAGTGTAAATATCCATTTTATATTTTACTGTTTTTATTATATATTATGTATACGGGTTTTATATTACTGTTTTACTGTGATGAAATATTATTAAAAACAATCTGATTCTACAATATTGCAAAAGAATGTTTATTAAACATGCATTATGTTTTAAAGCTCTATAGCTAGAAAAAAAATATTTAAAATATTTTAGAAACATAGTAAATGTAGTAAATGTAATTTATATATATATATATATATATATATATATATATACACACACACACATTTATATTTATATTTATACATTTTTATATATATATATATATGTGTGTGTGTGTGTTTATTTTCCTACGGCTGCTTGGGACGTTTTTTGGGGTTGTGTCTCAAAACCTAGTGAGCTGCCTACCTAGACAGCGTTTTAGAGCATTAAATGGCGCGTTCAGAGTCAGAAGAGCGTGCGCATGATATCGCATGATTCTATTAACTCGGAAAGTTCCAATCCTTACTAAAAAAGTTGCGGATCGCGTTGCGGATATGCTCGCCAGTGATGATGCCTAGCTAGGAGTGTCACTAGGTTTTGAGACGCGGCCATTGTGTTGAGTTCAGTCGGGAGTCTTCGCTGTTCTCTTCTTCCCCGAGTCTGATTTTGTAGGGAGGAGCTGTGACTCTCGGGAAGATCTAGAGACTTTGGCTGAGGACAACAGAAAGGTAGAGAGCTTTTGGTCTTATTAAAAGCTGCATTTTGATGTTCTTTTCCATGCAGCGAGAGAGTTTATTGAGCCTGTGTGTTAGCATCAGGCTAGCTGATCTCCGTCTACCCCTCCCTGCTTCATCATGTGTGTGTGATTTGAAGGTTGTGGTCTCGATGTTGTTGATCAGTGATGTAGTGTGGGTGTGATGGAGCAGTTCAGTGGGAACTGTATTGGCTGGATGCGTGTATTTTGAGGAGGTTTTGTTCGCTCTGGCTAACCGGTGGCTAACAGGATTAAAAGCGCTTGTGATCTGAGCCTCATAAAGCTGACAAAACAAACATGATGCGCTCGCTCGGTCTGACAGGCTTTGAAGAGCTCAAAGTCACATACAAACATATATATATACTGGTTTATTTAAATGTTAAAAGCTACAATGAAGTATACTTAGAGTTGTATTACAGCAAGTTGCACTTAAAAAGTCGTGTCATTATTATTATATCACTTAGCATTTATTATTATCAATTTAGCACTTGGTACAGAACAAGTACAAACGTGATTGTATGTAATACCATGGTGTGTGTGACTATAACGCATGTAATACCTGTACATATATAAGCAAATTTCAAGATAGATATTTATTTATTTTTATATATTTATTTTAACATTTTATATTTAAAGATAGATATTTATTTATATATATTATTTTAGAATTTTAAGTTAATGTATATTTTATGTTATACACACGCACACGTAAATATTAAAAGTAAATATTTATTTTAACTTTATATTGCTTTATTATATAATATATTATTGTATATAAATATACATGTTTTAAATATTATATGTAATATTTATCGTATGTGTGTGTATAAAACTATACAAATATTAGTAAATATTGTATGTATAAATGATAAGTTATGCATACATATATATTAAAAGTACATTTTTAAAGATATCTTATCTTGGATATATTTTATACTTAATATTTCTTTATTATATATTGCATTATTGTATATAAACATACATATATTACATTTAA